TTGTAGAGTCTAAATCTGAAAGGATAACGGACCTGAAGGTTCTCAAGAAATGAAGATGTGACCATTCTTTAAAAGGGTTTCATCGAAGTATAATTTAATCTCTTTGAACAAAGGTTGTAAACTTGACATATCCGATAAAATTAATAACTAAGCGCGGAGTGTATATTTTGCTGGATAAAAAAATTTTGCGCGTTTACAATTTTTTGTCAGATCACTCAGATGATCCTACCGATCTGCAGACTGCATACGTAATAACTCTTCTCCAATTAGCCTATCCCTGATTATAGATGTTACACACCATAATACGCACGTGAATGATCAACAACTTTTATTGAACATGCATATTGCTAAATTGAAGTCGCGTAATATGATTAAAATGTATTCTCGACGACTAAGATACCTTTCAAATATCCACTCGGCCTCGTCGATATTTGGTTCTTTTATGTTTTCGTCTAGCACGCGACAACCCAAGACTTTTATACCTTTGATTAATAATAGACGAAAAAAGTAAGTTTAAGAAACTGCTGAAAATTAGATATTGCTTTTATAGAATAATATCATCTTATCATCATCACCTAATTTTGCTGCACCTTTGATATCAAGCCTAGCAGCAGCAGCCGCTACAACTACTTTCACTTTATGGTGGTGTACCCTACAAAGCAACCCAATCTATGCGGAAGATGAAAAGTCTCGAGGAAATTCGCACGTTATTGAAACAATAGGTGAAATATCTAAACTAATGTTTGATTTTACAGTAATAATAGATTACATCTAAATGATAGTTTCTTGGTAAAGAGGACCCCGATAGTAAACTCCATTTTCCGAAACGTATAACGTTGTATGATGGGGCTTCAGCGAGATTAATAGGCTTCGGAGTACGTACATTGTCATTTCTGAAAGTAAAAGCGTACGTTGTTGGATTATATGTCAGGGAACAGGATATTAAGGTGCTTCGTAATTGGAAGGTATGTTAGAATACGGGGTTGATTTAATTTTGGTGTTCGAATTGATTGAATTAATGATTATAATGATGATTTTTTAAGGATTTTGATAAAGAAAAGTTTTTGTCAACTGGTGATGAATCAATGGCTCACGCATTATTAGATCAACCGATTGAGTTCGCAATTCGTATAGGTAATAAATATTTTTCTTTTCTTTCTATTGCAATTATTTATATCTTCATATCATGTACTAACAAAATACAACAAAAAAGTTCCAATGCGTGATACTAATGGTGCGCATCTACGTGACGGATTCACCAGATCACTAACAAACAGAATTCAGTACGTGGATGAAGAATTGACGGGTGACGATCAATCTGTACGGCAACAAATTTAGGATTACAAATTCATTAAATATTAAAAAATCTTTCGATTAATACTAACACGATTATTATAGAAAATAGTGGACGCCATAGCAGAATTTAAAAAAATCTTTCCAAAAACGGTTGTGAAAAAGGGGAATGAATTGATATTTACGAAACAGGTGGATGGCTGTCTAAGAATGGCGTATCATGTGAGTAAATTTATGCATTCTTAATTTAATTTAATTATGCTCATTTATTATTCATTTATAAATATAAAGGGTAAAGAACTGGGCACAATACATAACCACTGGCTAGCAAAAAACTTGCTGATGGGCTATTTGGCAGCAAAAAGTCCCATTTCAGAAAAGGTAGACGATAAATAAAAAAGTTAAATTGGTGATATTACATATATTTATTTTTTTTTTGATTGAATAGGCGAAATTAAGCATCGCAGAAGGTCTAGAAGAACTATTTGCCGCTGACTTTGTTTTTTGACTTTTAATTCTATATAATAAACAGGTGTGTGTCAACGCGCCAATAAATATATTTATGATTTTGACGCAGACTGTTGATCATCTAAAATAAAGTTTGTCACGTGTTGTTATTGTCTATATACGTTATATTAAAAATCCTATATAATAAAAAAGTGATTAATAATACTAAAATTACAATAATGTATAATGTATCATAGCAACTCTTTTTGAAGCATCTTGAATAAATCATCCATGAAATCCATCCGATAAAGTAAATAATGTTTCGCGCCTTCGATAACGTTAAACTTAACATTTTTCATTCGCTCACTCATATGTTTCCACGCGACCAACGGGACTTCCTCATCCATATCGCCAATAAATACACGTGTAGGATAATTTGTGTCTTCATATTTATAGCCCCAATTAACTCTCTCTAATGCAACCATCCAATCATTATGCGGTCCAGATTTGCCACTCTGGAGATTCCAGATTCCATTCTGGTATACTTGATTGTATAGATAACTTCTTCCAGGTGACACGGAAAAACCTTCACTTATCGTAATGTTTTCTTCATCATCTTCGATGACAACAGAGCCATTACTGTTACCATTCCCATTCACATTTCCGTTGGCTGCTCCCCCCAAAGAAGCCACCGTTCCCCAAATATTTCCAAATAACTGGTTCATCGAAGGAACTACAGTAAGTGTCGTGCGGATTAAAAAATTCGGAGCATATCTCGCTATTCGACTCATTGTTGTCGATGCTCCCGGAGTAGATGTTGAGACCCAAGGACTTATCAAATGAAGGGGTCCTTTGAGTCGTTCAGGATAACGAAGTGAGAACGCTAGACCAAAAACGGCACCCAAGGAAAATGTGACTAATCCAAATTTGTATATGCCAAGAAATACTGTGAGCTCATTGACCATATCGACAAATTCGAAAACATTCGGAACACCTTGTTTCGAGTAACAATCTTCGGTGTCATTGTATCTTTAGATTAAAAATTAAGTTAATGATAAGTTTTATGGACATATCGAAAGATGAGTTTTATTAACAAGATATAACAAACCCAGGTCGGTCAACACAAAGCATTCGGATGTGGTAGCGCCTAGCAAAATTTTCATATAAAAGAATGGTGAAAGCGGGACCCATATTACCTGTTTGTTTAAACACGTTAATATAATCTAAAAAATTATAAAGCTTTTACTAACTCAAGACATTTTCCAATTTACCCGTGAACCAAACCACAGGAAAACCTTTCGGATCGCCAACCTAAACTTCAAAAGAACATTAACCAAAAATCACGGATTTGCAAACATACTTAAAATTCCAAAAAAAAGAAGCATAAAATTCACATATAAAATACCTCGCAAACGCCGACTTTTCCCGAGGAAAGTGTAATGACTTGCCTCGACCGTGGATTATTCCATAATTCTTTTGCTTGTTTTAAAGTCATTGTATGAAAATCATAGCCACTGTTATAATATTCGACGTTTGTCTTTGTCGTTGTGGTTGTGCTTTTTGAATATTGGTTGGAGGTGCCTACCGCCATTTGGATTTTTTTTTTTCGTCGGTTATAAAGAGAAGGAGAGCGCGCGGAAATAATGTTTTTTACAGAATAGTCAATGGTTTTTTTTTCTATAAACTCGAATAATTCAATTTCAATGCATGAGAATGTTGTATCACTTGTTACTTATTTAGAAATGTAATATTTCACGCGTTTTCGCACGTTTTGTCGATCCCGGAAAATTCTGCTATTCTTGTTATACTTGTTTATTGGTTGCTGGGAAAAAATTCGCGTATTCTAATTATTCTATATGATGGCGAGCTATAGTATGATGTCATAACCAATTATCACATGATAATAAACCAATTTGAAAGTAAGGTGATGGTTAAAAAGGCGAGTTTATAGAAATGATCGCGTAAAATCCAATATTGACTGATGTTGATCATACTAAGTAACTTTCTTTTCAAATAAATCGAAATGAGTGAATACAATCATTCACATGGAATCGAAAGTAGCACATTTTATTAAATATTCATTGATTAGGAATCAGTAGGACAATCGATTTGATTTGACGGATGAGCATCACGAAAAGCTTGCAATTCGTTAAGTTGTGCCTCTATTCGTCGGATAATAGGGAATTCTGTCAAATCAACTTCAAACCTGTTTTGTTATTCATATGAAAAAAGTGATTAGTGATTTATTATTATTGTTGTTGTTGTTGTTATTGTTGTTTATTTTTTTTTACCTATTTGCGTTATAAACTTGAGGAACGAGACACAAATCGGCTAATGTGATTGAATCACCGAAACAGTATACACCAGCAGTTTCTTTAAATTGTTTCTCAATTGCTGTTTAAATCAATATCAAAATTAACTAGTTGACTGATTAATATTAATTCACTGATTCATTCCATTATGATCACCATGTTTACCTCTAAACCCCAACGTAATCCAATGATTACCCCAATTGCTTCCTTGCCCCGAATGCTTTAAAACGCGTAAGTTTTGCACGGGTTGAATATCGCTAACAATTGATTGTACGATGGCTCTTACCTTATTAAATCAAATTTCACAAGAATAAATATACTTAATAAATCAATTAAAATAAAGATAATCGCCAAAACTTTACTTTAGCCTTGTCAATTGGATTCTTTGGCAATAAAGCTGGTTCAGGACGCGTCTCCTCAAGATATTCGAGTATCGCGACTGATTGAGTCAATATTTGACCATCGATAATCAAAGTGGGAACCATTTTTAAGGGGTTCAAGTTTTCGTATTCCGGAATATCCTTTATTACGTGGATGATATTATTATTATTATTATTATTATTATTATTATTATTATTATTATTATTCTTATTATTATTATATGATAAAACTAAAGGCGTAGATAAATTAATTAACTTACTTGCTCTTCTTTTAAGAGATTCACTGGACGAGTTTCATACTTGATACCTTTGAGATTAAGCGCTGTACGCACGCGCCAGCTACAGGAAGAACGATAGTACGAATAGAGAATTGGTTTTTGATCTCCCTTGTTTTTCACAATAAATTAAATAAAAAATCCAAATTTATGAACAAAATACCATTATATGATTAAAAGCTTACCATTGTTTGAGAACTCCTATTAATATGTCTAATTATCGTTACATTCAAAAAATTTTTGGCGCCAATCGTGAAAGATGATCGACGTAAAAATGCCAGAAAAGAAATTTCAGATTAGAAAAATCCAAAAATAGCCGCCAGCCAGGTGAATGAATGAATGGATTTAATATGTATGATTGTGACAAACAAATTATATTATTAAGGTTACTCAAAAAATTCACAATGAATATATATATTATTTATATTCCTTCAATCAGTCCACCAGTTTCAATTTTTACTGTGCCGAATTTCTGAAATTCATATCGAAGAAAGATAAAGAAATAACATAATAATGTATCCTGGACAACAATATAAACAACAATTTCAGAATCAGGGTTACCCTGGTTCGCAACAACAACAACAACCATTACCACCAGTTTCATATGGTGGTTTTGCACCACCACCTTCACAACCGTCACCCGGGGGCTTTATCGTTCCAGGTGGACCACCACCTCCATACAGTGCGCCTCCACAGCAGCAATACGGTGCTCCCACACAACAACAATATATTGCTCCCCTACAACAGCAATATGCTGCTCCACCGCAGCAGCAGTACAATGCTTATCCACCACAACAATACAGTGCTTATCCGCAACAACAACAACAACAACATCCTCCTCCTTCATCCAGAGGATATCCTGGCCAACAGAGTCAAACTTACGTTCCGCAACCATATCCACAACCTCCAAATTCAATCCATAATGCTGGACCACACCCTGTGCCTTATGGACAACCACCTAGTCAGTACCCCCTTCCGGAGGGTATTATTTTATACCATAACCCCTATGCACAGCAACCAGCTCCAGACTTTCAATTATCGAATTGCACTGGTCGAAAACGTGCATTACTGATCGGAATCAATTATTTTGGTACCAATGCTGAATTGAGAGGTAAAATTAAGCGTCGCATTTTAGGAAAATCAGGATCAAAGGATTAAAATAACGATGATGTCTTTTTAATAGGTTGTATAAATGATGTCAAGAATATAAAAAACTTCATCACCCAACATTATAATTTCCGAGAGGAGGATATGGTAATATTGACCGATGATCAAAAGGACCCAAAAATGAGACCGACACGAGCAAATATAATCAAGGCAATGCATTGGCTGGTACATGGTGCTCAACCAAATGATTCGTAAATATTTCTTACCTCATTAGTTAAATGATCATTGACGATAAGAAACAGGCAAAAAGACTTACCGTTATTCAATTTCTTTAGCTTCTTCCTTCATTATAGTGGACATGGTGGGCGTGCAAAAGATCTTAATGGTGATGAAGATGATGGTTACGATGAAACAATCTGTCCATTAGATTTTCAAGCTGCCGGTCAAATTATTGATGATGTAGGAAATTTAAAAATATTTGGAATTGTATTGTTTTTGTATTAAAATTTGAAATTATATCTTTTTTTTAACGTATATAGGAAATGCATGATATTTTAGTCAAGCCTTTACCAGCAGGTGAATTATCCTTGGCATTTGCAAATTTTCTTATTATTGTCACTTAAATGTTTTCTTAAATTTACCAATTAGGTGTTCGACTTACAGCAGTCTTTGATTCTTGCCATTCTGGCACGGCATTAGATTTACCATACATATACTCGACAAAAGGTACCATCAAAGAAACTAACTTATTTTCAGAAGGAGGAAACACTCTTTTAAACGCTGGAATGTCTTATCTGCGTCGCGATTACAAGAGTATCGCCGATAGTTTTATGTCTTTTGGTAGGAAAGCATTGAAGGGAAATAAGATTAACCAAAAAAATAAGGAAACGAAATCTAGTCTGGCAGATGTGATTATGTTTAGCGGGTAAGTTTTAGATTTTTTATTGTTTGTGCCATTAATATTATGTATGTAAAAACTTATTATTGCCTTTGGCTGTTAGGTGTAAAGACATTCAAACATCAGCTGATGCCAATGAGGGAGGCGAAAATACCGGTGCAATGTCATACGCACTCATCACTTCGTAAGTGTCATCTTATTTTTATTTATGTGTGTGTAATGTATTGTATGTTAATAGATTTTGAATTGTGTTTTTTAATAGACTTAAAAAGAATCGAAATGTTTCCTATCAACAACTATTAAATTCGATACGAGAAATTCTCGCATCAAAATATTCACAAAAACCTCAACTGAGCGCGTAAGTAACCTCCTTATAAGTAAAGGAGCTTTCCTTACCAATTTCCTAGATAAAATTCATAATTTAACGGTATTTATTGTTATTTTCTTATTACTTAGATCTCATCCGATGGACATGAACCTTATGTTCATGATGTGAGTGTGAATTTGAGACGCGACGGGTGGGCATTCTGTAAACTTCATATAGACATTTTCATCAAGAATAATAATAATTTTTGTTTTTACATATTTCTGTACTATTATTACTGTTCATTCATTTCGTTTCTGTATAAAGTCATAATATTATAATTATAAATTTAAAGAAATTTAAATAACATTATTAAATTAATCAGTGTTGTATAATATGAACATGTAGAGAGATTTTATTAACTTGGCGATCAAAGTTAATTCAAGTTGATTAATAATTAATATTAAATCATAATATATAATATTTTACTAATTTATTTAATATAATACTTAATATTTTATAATTAATTAATTATATAATTAAATAACAAATTAAATAATATATTATATAAATATGAATTAATATAATATAATTTATTAAATAAAAAATTTTATAATCATTAAATAAAATAGATTAGTTTTAATAAATAAGAAATAAATAAAATATAAGAAGTTAACTAATATTTTAAATATAATTATTCTTTATTTTATTTATTTTATATTTAATCTTGATTTATTTAACTAATAAAAATTATTTTATATATTTATTATTCTTTATATTTCTTAATATTAATTATTTATTCAAGTAGTAAAAGTATTATAATCTATTTATTATATAATTTTATAAATTTTAATTAAAAATTATAAAAAATAAATTTTTTTTATTATTTTATTAATAAATTTATGAATTTATTAATCTTTTATTATTATTTATCTTTATAAAATTCTTTTAATATTATTTTTTTCAAATTATTTAATATTTAATTTTTTTAAATATATATAATTATTATTATTATTTTTTATAATATATTTTTTTAATTAAATATTTTATTTAATTTATTTTCTATTTATTTAATTAAGAATAGTAATAATATTTATATTTTAAGAATATAAATTTTAATAATTAAAATTTTATTAAATTTATTAATTTAATAATAAATATTATAACTTTTAATTAATTATTATAATTATATTAATTCTTTTATTAAATAATAATTAGTTATAATTTAAAATTTATTAATTATAATTATATAATACTTATTTATTATCTTATTAAGAATATTATTATTAATTAATATTAAATATATAATTATTAAAAGAACTTTTATAAATTTTATTATTAAAAAATTAATAATAAACTTATAAAATATTTTAAATATATTATTATTTTATCTTTTAATAATAAAATTAGAAAAATTCAAAATCTTTTAAAAAAATAAAAATAAATATTATTTTATTTTAATATAATATTATAATAAGATTAAGATTTTTTGAATTATAATTATAATAATTATATGATTAGTTATAATTTAATTTTTTTATAATAAAAATACTATATTTATTTATTATATCTCTAATAATTTATTTATTTATTTATTATATCTCTAATAATTTATTTATTTATTATATTTTTAATAATTTATTTATTTATTATAATTTATTAACTTTTATTAATAGAATAAAGTTTTTTAATTATATATTATTATTTATAATATACTTTAATATAATAAAAATTCTTTAAATATAAGATTTTTATATTAAGTAATATTAAATTATAAAAATAATTCTTGAAAGTAAATAAAATTTAAAATAAATTTACTATAATAATTCTTTATTACTATATTTTTTTATTATTATTATTATATCTTAATATTTTATGATAGATTATATAAAATATATAATATAAAATAAAATTAAAAATAAATTAAATCTTAAAATTAAATTATTTAAGAAAATATTCAAGATAAAATTTTTTTTAAATTTGCTTTTTATTTATAAAATAAAAATATTTTTTAAATATAAAATTATATATATAAAAATTATTTAAATAAAAAATTAAATTACTAAATATTTCTAAAATATAATTTTATATCTTAAAAAATAAATAATATAAATTTATAAATTAAAAAATAAATATAATTTAATATATTATTATTATTCTTAATAAAATAGATAAATAATAAATTAAAGATAATATTAATTAAAAATATAATAAAAATAATAATAATAATTATATTTACTTAAAAAATTAAATTAAATAATATTTATAAGTAAAAATATTTTTAAGAAAATAATAAAAAAATAATAATATAATCTATAAATTTATTAATAAAATAATAAAATATAATATTAATCTTTAATTTTTAATTATTTTTAATTAATATTAATAAAATATAGTTTAAGTTTTTTAGTTATTAATTAATTATAATTAAAAAAATCTCTTTATAATTATATTTTTCTCTAGTTACTTAATTTTACTTTTTCAAGTATGTAATTATATAAAAATTTAACTATATATAATAAGTTTATAATAAATAAAATTATAATATTTTTATTAGTAAAATAAGTAATTATAATTATAAAATATAAATAATAATAATATAAAAGATAACTTTTATTAGTTAGATAAATTAAAATTAATATAAAATAAATTAAAAATAATAAAAAAATAAAAATATATTAAAAATATTAATTAATTTCTTAAAGATTATTTTATTTTTTAAATATTATTTTTTAGTAATCTTTAATTATTTAACTAACTATTAATTATAAAACTTTCTTTTATAATAAATTATATTATATTAATTTTTATTTATATAATTTATTATTTAATTTATATTTAATTAGTAAAATATTAAGTATTATATTAGATAAATTAGTAAAATATTAAGTATAATAAATAATTTAATTAATATAATATTATATAAATTAATATCTTATTATATATAATTTAGAATATTAATAGAAAATTAAGAAATAAAATATATATTAAAAAAATTAAAATATAATAAAATTAATAATTAAATAATTAATATTATATTTAATAAGATAAATTAAGATAATAAAAATTATAAATAATTAATTATAAAATAATTATATTAATTAATAATTAATAAAAAATAATAAAAAATAATAAAGAAAATTAAGAAAAAATAAAAAATTATTAAAAAATAAAAAAAATAAGATAAAATAATATAAATAAAATTATAAAATAAAAATAAAGAATAAATTAATAATAATATAAATATAAATAAAAAAATAAATATATAAATATATAAATTAAAAGATAAATATATTTAAAAAAAATTAAAATAAAGATAAAAAAATATAAATTTAAATTAATTTATAAATTATAATTAAATAATTATTTTTAATAATTATATTTTTAAAAATATATATATAATTTTAATATTATTTTTATTAAATTAAAAAATATTTATAATATATATATATAAGAGAAAAAAAATTTTAAACTAAGAATCAACATCTAAAAATATAAATTTTTATATAAAAATAACATATTTTTTTATAAAATTATTTAATAATAATAATTTAAATAAAAATTTAAAGTTAAAAATAAAAATAAGATAAAAATAAAAAATTTATAAAAAAATATATCTTATTAATAATTAAAATAATAATAATAATAATAATAATAATAATAATAATAATAATAATAATAATAA